TGATTGAAATTGGTTGTTGAGAATGTTTGCTTTTGTTATTCCTTCACTGCTCATTTGGTTTGAATCTGAGATTAAGGCTGATATTTGATTGCTCACTATCCGTTTACTATTAATATATGCAAATAGTCTTTTTGGATTGTGCTTGTTGTTAGCTAGCTCTGACTCATAGACACGTAATGCTCGTTTGCTATTTTTTTTGACCTCCTTTTTGACAGCTGTATACTCTGTGATGTGCGCTGCATTTTTCCACTTTGAGTTTGCATTTTTGTACCAGAGCTCTTTTTTTAGTCTAATTAGCTTCATTAACTTGTTTGTGATCCAGGGTTGCCTTTTTTTGGCAGTATTTTTTGATGCCTGTGGAATAAACTTATGGCATGCTTCATTATAGAGGTTAGACCATATGGAATAACATTTCTCAACATCATGATCCATAAATCTAGCTTGTCAATTTATGTTATTTATAAAAGTATCTATTTCATCATATTTACCATATTTATAAAGGAATTTTTTGCTGTTAAAACTATTTTGATTACTAATGCTTAAATTGTGCTGCCAGCTAAGAGATATATGCCCATGAGAGGCTGTACCAAGATAAGGTCCTGTTAAAACTTTATTGATTCTATCTTTTGATTCTGATATAATTAGATCAAGTGGGTTGCTAAGATTTTCATCAGTTTTTATAAAAGTTGGACAATTAACATGCTGGTAGAGGTGGTTGTCACAGAGAGCATCATTGAACCTGTATTCAAGACTATTTTCATTGTCTGATGTGATACTCTAGTCAGATTGCTAAGTTATGCCTGGAAAGTTAAAGTCTCCTGTCACAATTAAGCCATTATATACTTTTGTATCAACTAAGTATCTAGCGTAACCAAGAGCACAAATTATTTCATTTATTTGCACTGAAGCAGTTGGTGAGTTCCTCTCAGAGCGATAAATACAACTTACTAGAAATTTTTCTGAAGGTAACTGTTTCAACCCAAAGTTGTTCAGATTCTTTGCATTTAAAGTTTTTATTTAGCTGCGAATTGTCTAGTTCACATGCCATTATATCATTTTGAACATAAATTGTTACACCACCTCCGTAACTAATTCCATCTTTCGTAAATAGCATATAGTTATTGATTGATGGAGCAGAAGTAGAATTGAACCAAGTTTCAGTTATAAAAATTAGATCATATTTGTTTTGTTCAGCTAATAATTGGAGTTCAGTAATTTTGTCTTTATTGAGTGAAGTTGCATTGGTGTAGAAGCAATGGAGAGATTTTGATTTGTTCTGATGAAGATTGCTTTTGTTTGGTGCCGACGTATGTGCTGATTGATTAGCTAAATGTTCAGACTGGAATGACATATGATAGTCCTGCAGTTGCGCAAGCTTCTTTCCAATCATTAAACGGGTTTTTCTCAGTACCGTTAATATTGATTGTTTTTTGTTTGTTGATGCATTTGAGCCTCCCTCCATGGATGACAAATCGAAAGGGCTGATTGAGTGCATTATTTGTCTTTAGAGTGTCATTGTACTTTTTCCTATTTTTATTAAGCTTGTTAAAAGTATCAACCTCAGAAGGAGTTTGGTCTGGACTAATAAAAACTTTGTTCCTGTAACTGTCAAATTTTGATAGATTTTTTGCAGAAGCTAGTATACTGTTCCTAGTTTCCACATCTTCAAATTGGACAATAATCGGTTGAGCAGTTGAAGAGTCCTTTTGAGCACTTATTTGCTGGAAGCTTATGGACTATTTTGTGAGTTGAACCTGTTTTAATGGCCTCAATAACACCTTTTACAGCAGCTTTGTCATCATCGTAACTTTTTGCGCAAGGAAGACCATAAATGACTACACGGGTTGCCTTAGTTGCTTGCATCTTATTATTTTGTTCAGTAACCTTTGCAATAGCCTTTGCTGTTATTGATCTGGGGTTTGCTACAACTTCTGACCAAGTTGTTGAATTTACTGTACACGTTTGTGAAGTTTGTGTTGTTGTTTGATGCTCTTTAATTTACTGTAATTCAAGTTTAAGAGCAACATTGTCTGTTTCAAGTGTTGATATTTTCTCTGTGAGAAATTTAATTGTTGCTGCGAGTGACTTAATCCAACAGTCATGTCTAGTAGTTGTTTCTGATGGTTGGCTAGCCATTTTCGTCCAGTTTGTTAGTGCAGATATTGGATTGTTTTTTCAAAACCCCTTTCTTTTTCTTTTGCCATTGATAATACTTTTGCCATTAATAATATTATTCTGTTTACTAATAAGAGGGATACCACTCTGAATAACAGTGGATTACATCTTGATTTGAATTTGTTAAACCTTGTAAACACAGTGTTGAGCAAAAAGATTTTGTGTTTTTTGTGTGAAATATATTTCTCAATCTCCCGTGCGGGGAATCGAACCCCGGCCACAGCGGTGTGAGCGCCGGATCCTAGCCACTAGACCACACGGGACACAATTTTTTTTTTCACTAGACCACACAGGACACAATTTAAATTCACTAGACCCCACAATT